ATATATATGTCAAATGTGCTGCAGGTCCAGTGAGGGAGTCTGGTAAGATTTGAACTTGCTCTCATGAACCTAGTAATGACAGTTGGTTTTCTACAGTCACACTTTTAAGGGTAAGACCTGATGTGTGCAATTTTGAGAGGAAATAAAAATGGCCAGCAGTCATTATTCTGTGACTTAGTAGTCCTTTATAGCCATTCACCTAAGAGTAAAAATAGAAAATTTAGAGTGAGCTAGAGAAAATGGTTCCAGAAGCATTGTTTTCTCTGTTGGTAAGGAAGAAAAACTTAGTTTAGTATTTATAATTTAAATTTGCTTATGAAACACAAGACATAGCAAAAAAAAAAAAAAGTGCTTTCTTTCCTGTTCCATAGGAGAGGCTAAAACTTACCTATGAGGCCAAGAGTGACATTCTGGAATCTCAGCTGACACTTTTGAGGTAAAGTCAAGTTCCTCATTTACAGACCCAGCAAAATGATAATGTTCTTAAAACAGATTTTAATGTTTGATGAACTTCTAGTTTAACTCAAAATTAGAATTACTTCATAGCATTTATTATATGCAGTACAAGATATATCCCGTGAGCCCTAAAGGATAAAATGACATAAATTTGTACATCCCTTTTCAATTCCCAATTCCATGCGCTAAATTATAAATTTTAATTAACCCCTGAGGCTGGTGAGATGGCTCAGTGGTTAAGAGCACTGACTGCTCTTGCAGAATACCCGGGTTTGATTCCCAGCACCCATATGGTGGCTACGAACCTTCCTTAACTCCAGTTCCAGGGGAATCCGAAGCTCCCTTCTGACCTCCTAGCACACAGTTGCTACTTTTGAAACCTTTTGACTGATAAATTCTACAGAACTCCTTTTTTCAGTCCATTGTCTTTTGAAATAATTCTTTGAGCCAGGAGTGGTGGCACATGCCTTTAATCCCAATACTGGGAAGTAGAGGCAGAGGCAGATATATCTCTGTGATACTGAGGCCAGCCTGATTTACAGAGTGAGTTCCAGGCCAGGTAGATCCACCTGGAGACCCTATCTTAAAAAAAAGAATTCTTTGCAGAATTTTCTCATTAGATAGCTTTTTATGTTTTCCTCCTGAAGAGAATAGATGACAGTAAATCAGTCACAGATAATAAATTAGTCAGAGATAAAAATCTGCATTCTTTATGTGAACTTTCAAGGTATTCTCTATAATTGTATGGGAGTGAAAAGAGAATATTTTCTTTATTTCAAGGATGTTATGTTGCCCCCACTTCTTTTTAAAAGAGAAACTATTTAGGATTTATATTTGGAGCTTTGCTTTGTGGGTAATAAAATGTTAATGGAGGTGAGGTCCTATTAAAGAATAGTCTAGTCTGTAATGAAATTTTACAAGAAGATGAACTAATTAATATATTCAAGTCTCATTACAGTCAGTGCATCAATTAAAATAATCACTCCTGTGCCTCAAGGTTGTGGTAAGAATTAATAAGGTACCTTGTGTAAAGCATCTCCAAGTAAACACCCATAAATGATGGCAATAGTTCACTATGATGGTTCATTTGAAAGTAGTGTGCTTTTTTTACCTGAACATTGTCTAGATTTTTCCACTTCCTTTTAGGAAAGACTTAGCTGAATATCAGAAAAACTGCGAAGATCTGAAAGAACGACTGAAGCATAAGGAGTCTCTTCTGGCTGCCAGCACTTCCAGCCGAGTGGGTGGCCTTTGCTTGAAGTGTGCGCAGCACGAAGCTGTTCTTTCCCAGACCCATAGTAATGTGCACGTCCAGACCGTCGAAAGACTGACCAAGTATGTATGCACTGATGCCCGGAGTCTTTGCCAACACAGGATTTTTTGTCTCTGTGGGTATTGTTTCCTTTTATCCTCACACTCAGTCACATGTGACTAAAGCTAAGCTTCATATAAAATGGATTTTAGACGGTTCCTTCATTGTAGCTTTCTTGAAGAAAGAATGGGTAGAATCTGCTAACCATGTCACTTTGAACAAATAGTTTTATATCTCATTTCAATCTCATCTTGAAGTAGGAGAGTTGAAATAGATAATCTCTTTACAGTCTATCCAGTTCTGTGACTCTAGCCTTAACACTGTCCTTAGCAAAACTGAGTATGTTATGAATACCTTAGATTTTGCTATGTCTTGGATCGACCTCTATGGTTTAGGGAGTAAGGATTATTAGCATGTCTTCATCATGTGCTTGTTGTGGAATATTATGAGTACCATGGAGGAAGCACCCACTGTGTCATAGCTCTGACCGCCAGAGGCTGACCAGGGAGGAATGACAAAGGGGCTTTTGTCAACGTTTTCTAGGCCGAAACACTGCAGTTCTGTGTGCATCTCTCTTGTTGCGTTCTCACTCCTCCAAAGGTGGTCTTTTTTTCCAGTGGAAATTTTATTCATAAGTTGAAAATTATTGTTTATTCTAGCACCCAATGGTGGTTTGCAATCTGTGTTTTCCCATGCCCTCTACTCCTGTCCTCCCTCAGTCTGCTCTGCTCTTTCTAGTAGCCCAAACAGCACTTCTTTTCTGAAGTGTCCCCCTAAGCCCTGCTTCATTTGGTCCTTTGCTGACTTTGTTTTTTCTTCCATAGTTTTAGAATACATCATATACTCTTGGAAGCAGCAGCCATATTATGCTTATTTCTTCAGCTCTGGTTCCTGAGTACCTGGCTTTTTGAGGGCACTCCGTGTTCATGTTTTTCATGTGACAAGGTGTTAGTCCTTAACAGTCAGAGATCCCTGTGGTTGGAATTGATGTGTAAATGTGGAATGACTGTGGTCATTAAAGACAGACAGATAATGCTATATGTCTTGGCCTTTAAACAGATTGCTTTAATCCTCAGAGCCTGGAGCTCTCTACTGTTTTTGAGAACAATCCCTACTTCTTGGAATTTTACCAAGGCAACTTAGCTTTATGACTACAAACATTGAATCTGAAGCAGACTGCCTGGGTTCATATTCTGATTCTACCGCTACTTTGCTGTGCAAGCTCTGTTCCTTCACTTTTAAAATGCTAATAAAAGAACCCTAACTCATAGGGTGTTTTGAAAGGTAGTTAAAATAATGTCTCTCTTTCTGTCTGTCCATCTGTCCATCCATCCATCCATCTAGCTATCATCTGTCTTACTTACTAAATTGAATACATACTTGGCAAGTATTTCCCCAGACACTAAATTACTAAAAACCTCTGAACCTCAAGAGTTTCAAGAACATTCAGTATTTCTGCAGCTTCCACGCATGATTAACATGTGGATTGCTGTATAAAATCTGAATTTCCAGTATGCATGACTGGTGGTTAGGATCAGTGCTAATAGTTTTGTTTTTTGTTAAATAATATTAAATGTTTTTGCAGTTTCTGTATGCATTCAATAAAACTATTAACTATAGTAACATATTTAAAATATATTTTCATGCCCAAATAATATGTAGTGAATATTTGTTATTTGACAAGGACTATGCTTCCCTGTAGCCCCAGTTAGCATGGAACTCACTGTGTAGACCAGGCTGCCCTTGAACTCACAGAGATCTGCCTGCCTCTGCTGGGATTAAAGGTGTGCAACCACTACACCCGGCTTAGGTGAGATAATTTTATAAAGTATTTTGTGAGGTAGGTATTATGCCCATTTCATACCTCAGGAAGCAAAAGCTTGGAGAAATTTTTCTTTCTATTGAAAAAAATAGAACTGTACCTTATAAAAATGAATTAAGGATAGTTTAAAGAACCAAATATAATTCAGAGTGTGAAAGTATTAAAAGTAAGTATAAAAATTATCTAATAGTCTTGGATTTGGACTTCTAAACATGACAAGAAAAGTGAGTCATAAAGAGAAAGAGAAAAAAGTTGCATTTCACCCCCTTATAAACAGCAGTAATAATGCTTATTGAAATGATTCTTGATATAAATCTGAAAATTGATAGTGGGGGAATAGTTTTGGAATTATTAAAGCATGTCTTAGTTACTCCATATTTCAAGGTAAAGTTCATATGTAGCTTAAAGAAACCCTCTCCTTTGTGTATTTCAAACATGTGACTGAGGTTAAACGTCATTTCCTAGGTTTTTTTCTGCTTTCACCGCTACACTCAGTTCCTTGTTTATTATATACTCACTAGTGAGTGTGGTAGTTCCTGCATTTTCAGCCCAGAAACTGACTGTTGTGTTATTTGTGGTGTCTTTTATCTTAACTGCTTTCTATCCAGACTATGGAATACCATGAGGCTAACACTGTGCAGCTTGCTTTCCTCAAGAAGCACCTTTGTCAAGTTTCTTATTCATTCAAGTGATGATTTTAAGCACTTGTAGAACTTGCCCACGGAGGATTTTACTTTGGAGAACTTCCTTCTCACTCTCATGTTGATATGTCTGTCCTATTACCAGAGACTCCCTCAGGCCTGACTCTAGCTTGGCCCTCTGGATATAGCTTTAGGAGCAGGAATGTAGCTGTCCATTAGTCACCCTAGCTACCTACCGTGGTGACTTCATATTTCTGGAGAGTATATAACCAATATCTCCATCAGATGCAAAGGGCAAGTGTAGGATGTAAAATGGGAGATCAACTAAGAGAGTGACAGGCAGATGAAGATGTCTAGAGAAGGAAGCAAGGCCTTGTACTGACAAGATGGGGCGCCACCCAGAGCTCTGTTTCTTGAGTGCTATTTAGTAAATGAAGTAGTGGAGTTGAAACAAAGGCAAAGGCAAAATGTAACAGCTAAATGTATGATCTTAAATATCCAAGATGACCTTCCATAGCTCCCTAATGTCCCAATGGCTACCCCGATGTGTGTGATATATTTTTTTTCCTATAGGAAGTTGGAATGTGTTAATCTAGTGGCAGTGCAGATATGCCATTAATCATTTTGCTAAAAGATGAGTTTCACAAAACATCTGTGTTTTGAGGTTTTTAATGATTTTCTGTGGTGTTAATACTTGATGAGTTTGCATTCTGAAACACTTTTGAACCTAACAACTCTTTATTTTGCAATTCTAAATAATAACACAACTTTTCCATTTAAAAAAATATTTATTGGCTGGGCATGGTGGTGCACGCCTTTAATCCCAGCACTTGGGAGGCAGAGGCAGGTGGATCTCTGTGAGTTCCAGGCCAGCCTGGTCTACATAGCAAGTTCCAGATCAGCTGGGGCTATAGGGAGACCCTGTCTCAACCCCCCCCAAATTTTATTTATTTTAATTTTATGTGTATGTATGTGCACCTGCAATTCTAAATAATAACACAACTTTTCCATTAAAAATTTATATATTTATTTTAATTTTATTTGTATGTAAGTGTACCTGTGTCATGCAATGCCAGCAGAAGTCAGAAGAGGGCGTCAGGTCCCGTAGAACTGGAATTACAGATAGTTGTTAGCTGCCGTGTGGATGCTGGGATTCAAACCCTGATCTTCTGCAAGAGCAACCAGTGCTCTTAACTGCTGAGCCATTTCTCCAGTCCACACAACCTTTCCATTTAAATCTTGAAATATTGCAACTGAGAGGGAACTGCTTCTTTTGGGTGCCACTTCTTTTCAAGTCTTTCTGTTGTGTATTTTCTTATTCATACTTTTGTTCTTTTTAAAAAATTAATGGCATGCATGGGGTGATCAAAGGATATCTTTAGAGAGTTGGTTCACTTCTTCCACGAAGTGGGTCCTGGGAATGGAACTCAGGTTGCCAATCTTGGCAGCAGGTAGTTTTGCCCTGTGACCCATCTCATTGGCCTGTACATTTGTTCTTTGTCATTTGTTTTGTTAAGCATCTACTGTGTGACAAATACTACTCTTGTTAAGAGGATGTCCTGAGAAGATAGTGAGTGGTTATAGATGTCTCCCAGGAGAAGCAGATCCCTTAAACTTTGACTTTGAGGTCTATCTGCTAACATACTTCTATAGCATCAGCTGCTTTAGCCATTGTTTTTGGAACTGGGAGCTTTGTCTTTAATGATGCTGTGATATCAGGAACAGATAAAGACTACCACTGACTTGTAACTTGGATTTTCAGTAGATCTTAGACATTTAAGAGAGGTGCCTACATGTACCTTATATTGTTTTGCTATCCTTAAAGGTAAATTTTCTTCTAGAACTATAGATCCTCCTGGATTGTATATCCCATGATATACAATGTATATCCCGTGAAGTTAGCAATAAGTACAAATTCTACTTGCATTCAACTTATTCTTTTTACTTTAGACTATTTTGGTCTTCTTTTGAGTCTTCTACTTTTTTACATAATTGTTGTGCTTTGTTATATTTAATCAGAGCAATTTACTCTTTCATTTTTTTTCTAGAATAAAAAATTTTATCAATTTAAAACAAATCAGGAAATTGTAAAGTGAAGATCTTCATAATGCCAGGAATTTTATGCTATTTTTAGCAGTTTTTTTTTAAACAAAAAAGATTTTTATAATTACTGATAATTGTAACTTTGTTCAGCATTTCATGTTTCTTTAAATATGACTGTTTTCCAAATACCATAAATAGTTTAAATTACTTTACCTTTAGGAGATTTTTAAAGCAGAGTCATTGCTGGTTTGTCTGGTTTGAACTTACATGGGTCTTGTGCATGCTGTTACCACTGCTGTGAGTTCATATGAATAACTTCCCAGCTGTCTGGAAAGCTCTGATTCCTTGTGGTCATCCATCACCTCTGACCCTTAAAATCTTTCTGCTTCCTTTTCCACAGTGGTCCCGAGCCTTTGGTGGCAGAGGTTTGATATAGGTGTCTTTTTCAGGGATAAGTTATCTGCAGTCTCTTATTCTCTGCACTTTGCCCAATTGTTGCTTTCTGATTTAATCACCATCTGCTGCTTGAGGAAGCTTTGCTGGTGAGCATCGAGGAAGCTTTGCTGGTGAGCGTCGAGAGATGTATTAATATTTTCTTGGCCCCCTGTTCTGTGTTCCCTGAGCCTTAGGTATGGAGGTTGCATTGTAGATGTGTCACATAGGACTGGGCACCTCACACTTAACTCTCTGAATTTGACTAGTTGTGGAACTCTGTAGTAGTTTCCATCTGTTGCAAAAAGAAGTTTCTTTGATGAATGGTGAGAGGTACACTTGTCTATAAATATAAGGATATAAATTTAGAATACAGCTAGAAATTATGTTGGTCTAGGGGTGTGACAAAAGTAGATTTTTCTTTAAGATCTATGACCTCTCCAGCCATCAAACATGAATCTTTCATGTTTAAGATTTTTTTTTTTAATCACAGTTGTTTTTTTCCGAGAGTTTAGAATTTTGCAGTGAAAAGCAAACAGTAAGCTTTTGTTTCAAACAATTTGAAGCTACAGTAGAAGAGTCAGTCTCTAACAAAGCACACAATGGCATGTGTAACAGACCATCATGTGTAACAGATCATCATGCCTGTTTTTGGTTTTGTTTTACTTTGTATGCATAGGAAGTTTATCACTTCACCTTTCTTTTTGATTTACTGGGTATTTTCATTTAGTGATAAGTTCAAAAATAACCTGAAAATTTGATATAAAATTTATTTTGAGCATTTATATGCCACAGTGTTTTGATATTCTGCTCACTTCTAACTCCTCAAAAGCAGCTTAGCTTAGGGGATGCCTGAGTAAGCTGAGGAGTGGGTGACTCTTGGCTGTGATCAAAAACCATAGACAAAGTTGGAAATGACCAAATTGTTCACTGATAAGACATTTTCAAGATAAATTGTGGCATTTTACTGAATACATTTCTTTTTATCTCTTCTAGTAAATATGTATTTTTGTTATAATATTATTGAATGAAAAGAGCATATTAGATGAGTATATATTGCATGAAACAATATATTGTAAAAATTTAAGTGTATTATATATATGTATATATACACACACACATACATGTACCAGATCATACACCAAAATGTTGAGTGATTTTTTTTTCTGTGTTGTAGGCTTTTTGTGAGTTTTCTTTTCCATCTATATATTTTGTGCTAAAAATTCTAAATAATTAAAAATTAGAATAGAAAGAAAGAAACAAACAAAAAAATGAAGCACCATGGGCAGATTTTGTTAATTTGAGTGTTTTATGTGAAACCAGAGGACTGGAGAGGGTCTATAGTCCTAGCCATTGAAATAGCAGGTTTGTTCATAAATAGCTCAGAGAATTTCATTGGAAGAGAAGGGCAAAGGGAGGCCTGTGAGAAGATAAAGAGGAAAGGCCTTACATCAACCCAAGCAACAGAAGAGAATCAGTGGCGTACCCCAAACCGTTCACTCCTGCCCCCTATTTTAAAAAGAGTATATGGATTCCAGTTGGGGGGCTATGGGAGGATGTAGGTGGGGATGGGGCTATAAAGATGATTCAGATTGTTTGAGATGTTCTGTATGAAATACAACAAAATTTAATAAAAACAAATTTTAAAAAAAGAGGAACTCTGGTTTCTCTTCAGAAGGTATGAATACTTTTTACTTAGTCCTTGCTTTAAAATGCTGTTCGGTTTCTGATGTGCAGTATCTGTCTTCTGTAGTTTGTTGCTTTTTCCTTTTAGCTCCCTTGCCTCGCTTTCTAACTAATTTGCTCTATTTGAGGCTTTTGCTCTGCAGCCCTATGTGTGCCAGCGCTTTCCACAAAAGCACATTGTCCAACGCAGATGTGGCCTTGCCACCAACGCCTCAGCCTTTCTGACAGTGCTGCCTGCCACTCACTGAGGGAGGACAGAGGGTCATTCTCTGGGCTGTTCTTAATAGGAGCTGTGCAGACTTTTGATGACCGTTCTGATACACACAAATGCTCTTCTTTCTCCTGCCTTATGAGTGCATGACCACATGATCACTTCTTGTTTTGGATGTTCTTTTTGTGCTGACAGGGAAAGGGATGACTTAATGTCTGCGCTAGTTTCTCTGAGGAGCAACTTGGCAGATGCACAACAGAGAGAAACCAGTGCCTATGAACAGGTGAAGCATGCGGTACAGATGACGGAAGAAGCCAATTTTGAAAAGACCAAGGCAAGTCGAATAGATGGGATGAAGACATGCATAGCCACTCCTTTTTCCTACGTATTTCTTTGGTTATTCTTCATAACTAAACTCTTTCCACATACCCAAAATAGACACCAATCTGTTAATGTTGACTTCTCAAAAGTTAAATAAATTTGCTATTTGGAGAATCCTTATTCCTCTCTCTGCAAATACTCTTGTTCTATCATCATTCAGAAATTGTAGTACAATATGGCAAAGTACTTTTAGAGATTTATATGCTTAATCTTTTTGTTTACTCAGAGTTTTCAGTGCTGTGAACGTCTTAACACCCATAGTTATTTGTCTGTGTTCATGTATAACTAAAGGCAAATGCTTTTCCTCTGCATGGAAGCATTTTCAGAACGTCTCAATATGCCAAAGTTAATCATTTATGTGTGTTCAGTAATGTCTTTAGTCATGAATTTGGATCCATGGTAAGCTAAATTAGACATACCTCACAATGAATAATAAAATGATAGTAGTTCATACTTTGTGATCACTGTTCCAAGCACTTTGAGTAACTGAAGGTTACTGTTTGTTGATTGATTGCTATATTTGAGGACCACACTTTAATTTATTATAGTGGCTGTATATTTTCCCTTGGCATGCTAGCCATACTTGAAGTGCTTAATGGCCACAGGTAGCGAGTGATGACTGTGGTGAGCAGTGTAGACAGAACAGGGCCTTTGTAGAGAGGTTACAGGGTGGCAGGTGTCTTCCCAGTGTGCACAGTGATTGGCCCTCATCTGAAGTATACTCAAACTAGAACTCTTTTGAGTGCTGGTATGACATGGAAAAAGTTTTGAAATTTTGTGGAACTGGAGAGATGCCTCAGCCATTAAGAGCATCTGCTCTTTGCAGAGGGCCTGTATTTGGTTCCTGGCACCCACATTGTAGCTAACGACCATCTGCAACTCCAGTTCCAGGGCATCTGACACCCTCTTCTGACCTCCACTGGCATTGTATGACACGGGTGCACTTACATATATGCAGACAATACACTCATTCACATAGAATAATAAATAAAATAAAATTTTTGAAATTTTAGATTATTTTGGATTTGTGACTTTTGGATTAGATGGGTGCTCAACTAGTAAAATCTATAGAAATAGTGCAACATCTGAAAAAAGTAAAATATGAAAGACTTCTGGCTAGATGTTTTGGCTAAGGGACACTTAACATAGTTACATCAGTATTTTGTTACAGTGCTAGATCTGCTCAGTCCTTTCTCAGGCATTGCCTGTCCATTTGTTTCTATCCAGTTTTGTAATCCTCCCAGACTAGTTGACTCTCAGTCATTACTAATCCATTACTAATGCTGCTTTGCCTTTGAAACAGGTCTTCTTTGACCCAACTTCCTCACATTTTCTCCTTTTGTTCTGGACTCTGTCTCTTGATATCATGACCCCAAACCTCCAGAGAGAGGAGGACCTCCTGCATTCACTCTCTCCCTGGCTATACTGGAAGAGCTGACATTCACTTCACTCCTCATTTTCAACCCCTTGTTTTGGAGCCTGCTTTTGGTAAACATTACTCTTTGAAATTAGGTTACACCCCTCTTGGAAATTTTCCTAGTCTTAATCAAGAGAAACTCAATCTAGAAGACATTCCTTAACAGTAAGGAAGGTGTAACAGCTGTAACATGCCTGCCCTTTCTTCACTCCATTTTATCTCCTCTCATTGCCCATAAAGTTTTCAAGATCCATGTTAGTATGCACAACACCAACCCAGGGTAGTCCCTCAATGCCTGCTTCTTTTCTCTTGTACTGCTATAACTCCCAAGTGAACTAGGATTTAAAATTCAGCCATTAGCTGAAAAAATAATAGAGAAAATAATAGAATGAAAAGAAGTGGTAGATTGGAGTATCATCCATATAAAGTGGTCCAGGAGCAGCAAGAAATGAAGGCCAAGAGAGTAGTTACAAGAGAAAGCATAATGTGCTCCTGTGGGGGTAAATGTGGAAAAGTGAATGCCAGGAAATATGGGCAACATGGGTATAGGACTCAGAGCTAGTGCTGAGTAATGTCTGTGTTTAAGGGCTGTGGAAAACCAGTTAAACTAAACCCAAAGGAAAACACAGAGCCATACAAAGAGGATCCACAAGAGTAAAATACCAGCTAAATCATGGGAAGAGGATGGTATTTTATGACAGGATAGCTAACACTTCCCCATCATCATCTTGGTAATAGCTCTAGCTTACAACCTTTAAAATACCTTCAGCGCTTCCCTCTACCGAACTACAATAGCCAGTCGTTTGCAATGCTCTGTCTCTGCAGAGTCCTCAGTTGAGCTGTGCCCACCTTTCCACTCCCATACAACGGTCCTGGCTCATATCTTCACATGGTCTTATGCAGTGTATGCAGACTGTTGCAGTAACCTTCTAATTGCTTTCTCTTGGGTTGCTTCCCGGCATCTTCTCCACTGTCTTAGGCAGTGTCCCCCTGGTCAAGAGCTCCCTCTTGAAATAGAAAAAAAGATAATCCTTTAGCATGACCTTCTCAGTCTTTCAGCCTGGCCTTACTCTATCTTTCACCACTCTCTTTTATATAGTTCCAGAAAGTGAACTGTAATTGAACATTTTCATGAATTTACTCAGCCAGTGCCAACCTCCTTGTATTCATCTGTGGAGTATATGGTCATCAGAAGCTCAGTGCAGGTAGCAGTCTTTGTAGAAGTTTTTTCCAGCCTTTTTTTGTTTGTTTGTTTGAATTAATCTACTGCTGCTCCTCTTCCTCCTCCCTCCCTCCCTTCCTCCCTCCCCTCCTCCTTTCGTCCCTCCCTCCCTCTTTCCCTTCCTCCCTTCCTTCCTCCCTCTGCTGCTGTATAAAGTTTTGGAGACTATTTACATTGCTGTCTCCACATAAAGACTATGAAAATCAAGTCTGTGATATTTAACATCTGTCTTCACATGACCATTTACATCTTAATTGCACAATTAATGTTTGTAGACTTGTAGTTGCTCGTTAGGTTTAAATATCAATGTGATGTTTTGTAACTAATGCTTTTTGAAATTTAATGGTGAAGAATGAGCAAGGCATTGTGTACTGTGAATGCAGCATTTTCACTGAATTAGTAATAATGAATACAAAGATTTCTTGCCAAGCAACTGACAAAATGAGGGCAGGTCTAGGAGCTTTTACCTCAAAACGTATTGAAACATACGAATTTTGCTTCTTTTTGAGACTATTAATAAGATAGAGAAGATAGCTATCATCTTACAACCCACTACTTTTAAATTACTGAGTTCGGCAGTATTTGTTCTTTAGTTTCTTGATGTTGCTTGCCCTCTAGTGTGCCTTTTGTGTATTGCATGCTTGGTAGAGGGAGGTGCTTTCTAGTGTGCCACATACTTATATTTACGGTGGCAGTGAAAGTGCCTGAAGTTTTTATAAGAAAATAAAAACATAATGTGAGAAGGTCATGGTGCCATTTGAGAGCTTTTTGAGACCGTGTCTTACTATGTAGACCAGGCTGGCCTGGATTCCCTATGTGAACCAGGCTGGCCTACAGCTAGTAGAGATCCTCTTGCTTCTCCTTGGATTAAAGGCATGGACCACTACGTTCAGCTTGCTAACTGATTTTAACCTGATCTCCCCATTCATTGCCAGTCTTAACACTTCGTCATCCTCACAGGGCTGGTGGGCTGTCAGCAGAGAGAGATGTCATCCAGTTCCCAAGCCAGGCTTTTGTTTATCTGATTTGCAGCTGCCTGCTCTGTGCTTTTCATCAAGCCGTCTCATCCTGCTGCCTGCCTTTTATCTTGTCAGGACCTTACCCTTCCTAGTCCCTGAACTGACTGGGGAGTAGTCTGAGGTCGGGTCTTCTCACGCTTCTTGTTCTTAGGGATGTTGACTCCTGAGTTTTTGTTCAATTAGAAATCTGTTTGGATATGTTGGTTTACAATCAATAGTCATTTTATTTATTCATACTGGTAGTAGTAAGTGTCAGCCAGAGTTACAGATAGTTTTTATTTCATCCGTGATTTTCACAAGCACAAATGCATTTTGAAGCACAGAATTCAATGATTTTTAATATTTAAGGCTCTGAGGAATTCAGTTATGGAAAAATTATACATTTTTATTTCTTTTAAAATGTAATTTAAAATTTCCTTTCTGAGGCATTCAACTAGGATTTAGCTTGGGGCTAGCTCCCCCAGAGGATCTTTTTTAGTCAAAATTATATTTGTTTTTGGTTAATCTGACACATTTGAAATTTGCCCTCATACTTTATGCCCAGGAACTCAGAAGCTTCCAGAACTGACAGTGAATGACTGCCTCCCAGATGAAGAAGGGAAAGTTCACACAGCCTAGCTATTTTCTGCCTATATTTAGCTCTCACCAGAGGGAAGCATAACTATGTCTAAAACCTGACAGTACACATTAAGATCCCTTCCCTCTCATTTCCAACAAATGCGAGTCCAGTTGATAATCAGGCATTCATAAGATACCATAGCTTCTTAATTTTATTGAGATTAAAAAAAATTGAATTATTTATATTTTATGTATGTGAGTATTTTGCCTGCAAGTATGTAAGTATACCTGTGTCATGCAATGCCTGTGGAGGTCAGATCCCCTGTAACTGGACTTAACAGTTGTTAGCTGCCATGTGTGTGCTGGGAAACAAACCCTGAACTCTGGGCCTTTGTAAGAACAGCTAGTCTCTTAACCACTAAGCCATTTCTCCAGCCCTGAAATCATTTTAGAATTGTGATTTTGAAGTCCTATTTTATTATTGAATATTACAGATAAAGATCACTATAGCCAGGCGTGGTGGCGCATGCCTTAATCCCAGCACCGGAAGGCAGAGGCAGGCGGATCTCTGAGTTCAAGGCCAGCCTGGTCTACATAGTGAGGTCCAGGACACCTGGCAGCTGGGGCTACAGGGACACCCTGTCTCAAAAAGACAAAAAAAAAAAGAAAGAAAGAAAAGATCACTATAAATATGGGCCAAATGAAATGAAATTATAGAGTTTTTATTTCTGGAAACACATAGTAGGAAACTTAGATTAAAGGATAATCATGAACCTTTTTTTTTTTAACATTCTGAATGCTTGCTTGTGTTGCAAGATGTCAATTCTAATAAAACTAGGTGGTAAAGTTTTGTGTACAAGAGGAATGAACTAGATCTTAGTTATATTTAAGGAAGTTGTATTAAAAGAGTGTTAAGAGCCGGGCATGGTGGCGCACGCTTTTACTCCCAGCACTTGGGAGGCAGAGGCAGGTGGATCTCTGTGAGTTCAAGGCCAGACTGGTCTACCTAGTGAGTTCCAGGACAGCTGGGGCTACAGGGAGACCCTGTCTCAAAAAGGCCAAAAAAAAAAAAAAAAAAAAAAATAGAGTGTTGAGATGCCTGTGTATAATAAAATGCAGTATTCCGCATCTCATGTAAAATGTTTACATTTAAGGGTGAGAAAAAAGACTCAGCAGTTAAGAACACTGGCTGGTCTTGCAGAGGACTTGGCAACTAACAACCAGCCGTAACTCCAGTTCCATGGGATCCAACACCCTTGTCTGGACTCTAGGGGCATTGCATACATGGTTGCACTTACATACATGCAAGCAAAACACTCATATACATAAAATAAATAAGTCCCTTCCAAAGTTTATATTCATCATTAAAATATTAAAATACTTTTATAATCATGAGAAAATGAGAAATCTGTAAACCATGTTTATTCCATGAAGTGCTACATGACATCATTAAAAATTACCAAGGCACTTGTCTTTTCTCAACTTCATTTTCAGATTCTGAGTGCTCTGTGGCACCATCAAGGCCAAACATTTCAATTCTCCAGTTGACTCAATACTATAAGCCTCAGCTGTGAAAATTGAAATATGTGAGCAGATGTAACTTTTAGGTACAACATTTTGACAGTATTGTTGTTAAACAGAGTCATCCAAATGGACTTTAAAATGAGTTTTAACCATCTTGAATAAAAGAAATGTATAACTGTCTCATTTTTCCCTGCTGTTTTCAAACTCCTAAACTCCTTTCTACTCTCCTGGCAGGCTTTAATCCAGTGTGAGCAGTTGAAGAATGAGCTGGAGAGGCAGACAGGAAGACTGGAAAAGGAACTTGCATCTCAGCAAGAAAAAAGGACTTTTGAGAAAGAGATGATAAAGAAAGAAATAGCAAAAGAAAGGGAAGATGCACAATCAAAGGTACTGTATTAGTTACTTTGTCACTGCTGTGATAGTTTTTCTGGCAGAAGTGACAGATAGTTACTTTACTTTTCTGGCAAAAGTGACAGATTAGTTACTTTGTCACTGCTGTGATAGTTTTTCTGGCAGAAGGGAGGAAAGATTCATTTTGGCTCACAGTTTCAGTCCATCCTGGTGGAGAAGGCACAGCAGTGTACAGCAATGGGAACATGTGGTGGAGGCTCCTCACGCCTTGACAAATGGGAAGCAGAGAGTGGGACTAGAAGTGGGGTGGGACCAGAACCTCAACACCTGCCCCTGCTGACCTCCTTCCACCAGCTAACTCCTGCTGCAAAGTTCCACAGCTTCCCCAAACAATGCCACCAGCCTGGGACCAAGTGTTAAAATGCATGAGCCTAAGGGGGACACTTCAGGTTCAAATAACAGGCACTGAAGACCTCAGCTTGTCATTCATCTTGCAAAAGAATGCTTCATTATGTCATTGATGACTCTCTAGGCTGCCATTTTGAGTGAACTTTACATTTTAAAACATTTATAACTAGTCAAGTTTCTTATAATACAGAGTTCATTAAAATATTCTGATTTTCCATATGTTCCTCAGTGAAACGTATTTCCTGATCTGTCCAAATAAAAGTCTAACACTACATTATGAAATTGTGAATTTACTTGAATGCCATCATTCTGTTTTATTTTTGACAGAAGAGTTCATGGGTTCTGAAGTTACCTAGATTTTGTTTCTACTTTAATCAGGGAGAAATGTTTCTGTACTTATCCCATATTAAGTGTGTAAAAGACACAAGAAACAGAGTAACTAAGAAAAAGATTACATACACAGTGTGAAATAAGTTCTGACAAATTACGTGAGGAAAAATAACCAGGTTAAAAATTGGAAGGGAGAAATTCAAGGCAAGGTGACCAACAGGTAGCATGAAGCTGGCCATATTGGAAGGACAGTATCCAAGAGTTGGATGGAATCCAGCTTTCCAATTGCTTCAGTAGAGTACAGTTGAACAAGAAGTGACCAAACAACTGTGTTACATGTTTAAAAAAGGCGATTTATATTTGTGCCCTAAATATTGTGTTATAATTATGCAATTTGAGATATATAATACAGATACAGCAAATATCTACCTAGTATCTATTGTGTGCAAAACTATGTGGGGGCCTAAGGATATAGATGAAGATTCTGCCTGGGGAACTTTAACTCTATGGGTAAACTGAGGCATTTACTATAAATCCTTTTGTCTTCATATCCCTGTGTAAAGAATTATGTATGTCAAAACTCTACTATAGTTCACTCTACCATATTTCTGTGCCCTGGATTGGTGGTCTCAGCTGCTCCAAATCGCATAGCACATGACAGCTCTGCAGAACTCTCTTCCCTGTCCTCCTGTCTCTCAGTGCTTTCTAGTAGTCCCCATGTATGCCTCTCTGCCTTTCAGTTTCAGCAGAGATTCATTGGAGGGACTAAAGATGTGGCAGTTATAGAACCAATGTGGGTCTTCTATAAAGCTTGAAGATTATGAAGCAATTGTTTCATAAATGAATTTTGGATTATTATTGTGCTCAAGATAGTACTAAAGCTTTGAAGGTTTGGTTTAGAGAACCATGAGAATATGGAACAGGGGTAGTCTAGGCAATCATGAAAGATCTTTTGTCAGATTTTGAAACAAGACCAAGAAAGGGGGAGGAATCACCAGGCGAAGAGTTGAGTTGAGGGAAGAAAATTTCATGCCCAAGAAAACTGCACAGCTATGATTGAAGCTGGAAAGCACTGTACTTTGTAGGAACTTAGAGAACACCCAGGTGGTTGAGTATAGGGAATGAGTGGTGGAATAGGGAGGGGAAGTGTTCAGACGTATATAAGGACCAGCTGGGGATTGCCCCTAAAATCTATTTGAGGTATTTTAAATTTCATCCAAAAAACGATGGAAGCCAGTGAATGACTTTACTTGGACAGCGTTGTAATGCTGTATATATTTGAGAAAAGTCATTGGACAGGCATTAGGATAGATGCCAGTAGCTCAAGTGGAAGTCCAAGGGGGACATGATGGCATTTTGATCCCAGTTTTTCAGTACTATTTCCAGACACTTTTATTCTCCCCAAGTTCCCTTGTCCTCAGCAGAGAAACTTACCTGATTTAAAAAACAAAACAAAACGAAACAAAACTGTGGTCACTGGGCGGCAGCCACTCCGCTCTCTACCTTCCCCTCACCTCCCCCATGCATGAACATTTACTTGCATCCCAACTCCATGAGAATGGGAAGGAACTCACCCTGATCTTTGTCCCTTCTCCTGTGCCCTTGCCCTTTGCCGACCTCAAGGAGCTCATTCCATTTCTTGCCTGCTGTCCTCTGAATCTTCAACCTTTGTTTTTCTATAATCTTTCTTGTCATCAGGAAAATACTACCAAATTTAGTCTTTCTTTGAATCTAATGTTATCAATCCTCACTGCACAAGAGCTTCTAAAAATCTCATGTCTAAACTGTATTCCAAACCTACTACATCACAATAGTGGAGGGGAAGATCCAGGTGTATTAAAGTTGCCCTGTGCTACCCAGGTTGGAAACCAGCTGGGAAATTCTCCCCTTACTGTCTTACCCAATTGAGAGTCTTCAAAGATCTGTCCATACATACTGTTTTTTTTTTTTTGCCGTCCATTTCCCCTCCAGTCCATTTCATGTAAACTCTGTGCTCACAGCCAATGAAATTAAATTGCAGCAACACCAAATACCTCTATATGCTATATTTACTTTAAATTTTCTTTAGTATCTATTATTTTTTAAAAATTTTAAAAATATATATTTTTTAATTTTATGTGTATGAGTGCATTGCCTGCATGTATGTTAGTGCACCAATGTAGTGCAGTGCCGCAGAGGTCAGAAGAGGGCTTCGGGTTCCCCTGGAACTGGACAGTTCAGTTCATAGCCACTATGTGGGTACTGGGAATCGAACCTGGGTCCTCTACAAGGGCAGTCAGTGCTCTTAACCACTGAGCCATCTCTCTAGCCCCAGTGTTTATTCTTCTTCAAAGGAACTTTTTCTGGATTTCTATGAATCTGTATTCTTTACTTGGGAGAGTGATGACGTGTGCCTTTGAGACAGCAAAGTGGGTGCGTTCAGAAAGCAGCATGAAGAAAGTCCAGAGTTGAGCAGAGAAGTTATATTCAGCTCTCTTTAGTACTCATCTCACTTTCATTCCATATCCGTGGTACTGATTCCTAAATATTTAATGCTCTGCGAGCTGCCAACCCCCTTGACTCTCTATCTTTTCTTCAGTTGCCCCAAACAGGAACAGAGTCATCCTTTTGTCATCCTTGTCTCCTTCCTCCCTTGCCCCCTATATTTCGTTGCCACTGAGTTTTAGAAGTTCAGGGCCTTGGTCCTTTTTATTGCCTGTCTCTCCATCCTGTTGTTACGCTGTTCTCACACTTGTGTGGTTTCTTCAGCCTCTTGTACCCTTGCTGCTAATCTCAACTTCTCATCTGTTCTTGAAACCACAGCTGGAATGATCTTTTTTAAAATGAACACCTCGGTGTGCCAGTTTCTTGCTTTACAGTTCTTTCATGTCTCATTGAAGCCTTGGATTCTATTAGAATTCTTTAGCAAAACATCAAGTCTCTCCATTATTCTTCCTCCTTGGCTCCCCTGTCTCATCTCCCTTCATTTTCTTCCTTGTATCCTTGCCACACTGACCTCCTTGTACTTCCCCAATTGATTAAACAGGCTAATTTGCCATAATATATTTTTAAATATAGTTCAGGATTTTCCCCGTCTAGAGGAATCTTCCTTTGTGGGTTTTGATCCTTCAGTATTTTTGATACAACTTTCTCCCAGAGCCTCCAAAAGTAGAATTGGGAGCCTCCCTGTGGGTTGCTATAACTCAGTTCATTGCAAACTCTTACTGGATTGTTGATCTCTCTAATTTTCTTTTAGTTCCTTGCATGTGTGTTGTGGCTTCCTTATTGCTTGATACAGTCCCCTCATATAACACATGCTCCTGTATATAGTTACTGAATGAATGTATGAATGACATACCAGAAGGGGAAAAATACAGAAGGCCTCATGCTATTGGAAAGGCAGAACTGAAAGACTGAGAATACAGAAGGTCAAAACTGATCCCTGTCTACAAAGGATCCTGGCCAACCTTGTGGACATGGTGTTTAACTGAACTTCAAAGAATAGGTAGGATTTAGAAACGCAGCATATGGGAAGGAAGAGACCTCTGTCCAATTGGAATAAGGCATGGCGGGAGGTGAAGTTGTGAACCAGGTATTGTATGTGAGGGAACACAGAATCAACAGCAAAAAATAGCTGTTCACACTTTGGGGAGGGAGTTGTTTAGTGGAAACTGTGTGCCTGACTCAATAGCTTTATGATATAAAAACATATTGATGAGAATTCCCTATTAGGAAGGTAAAAGAAAAGCTGAAATATACTGGTGTTAACAGCAGATGCATTCTTATGTAAGAGTCTCTCCCTGGTGATTATTTCAGGAGTGCAGGTGGCCCCTGGAATCCAGTGCATTTCAGAGAGTGATTCATTTTTCCCAAGTGGAGGAAACTTTGTCAGAGATTTGATCTCAGGTCTGTCCAAAGTACGGTTTTGAGAATAAGGAGCTGACTGGGTTCTAGCACCAGGTGCTGTTCTCCTCAAGTAGAGTGGCTTCAGAGAAAAGGGATGTAGGTGTGAATCAAGTTTGACCTTTCTGAGATCTTGACAATTTGTTTAATCTTCAGGAGTAAAGATTGCTTCAAGTACTTGACAGGATTAAATGAGATGATATTTTGAAAATATCATAATGCCTGCCTTATGGTGGACATTAAATAAAATTTAATCTGTTACTATTATCATTTTTATTTTTACAGACAGAATGGCCTAATTGGATAGCTTTCTTGTACCTACATGTTAGTAAAAACAGACTTACATATAAACTCTAGCTGTACCTTCTTTTTTTTTTTTTATCTTGAATGAATTTAGACAAGTAGCTTAGTTTTCTTAATCTCATTTCAGTAGAACTAAAAATCCAGTATAAGTAACCCAATTTCATATCAATCCAAATCTGATACAATTATTCTCTAAAGGAGTTAAATAGGGTATATAGATTGGAGAGCACAGGAATACACTCTAAGAGGGAAATGACTAACTTACCACAAGATTTTAAGGGCTAAGTTGGTTAAGTTAGTGCTACAACAGGTACCCCTGCTTTTCTAGCCATACAAACACTTAAGAGATTTAGATACATATATTCCTTCCCTCCTTCCCTTCCTCTCTCTCTCTCCTCCACTTGTGTGGGAAACTCCGGCAGAGCAGGTGCAGTCTGCCTGCTCATGTTTGCATCATCCTCCCATGAGCATTTCTTGCTGCGAGTTTGCCTGTTGCCTTCAGTAGTGTTCTTCATTGCAGTGAGCTGCTCAGGTTTGGTAGTTCATTCCACCATTCATCGTATGCTTATTTGATGACCCCCTGCAGTCCACACATTTTCTTAGTTGGTTCCCTTGACAATAGCCCATTGCTAGAATCCTTAATTTCTTTTATATCTTGTGTAAGAAGTACCACTTCATGCAGTATTCCATCCACAAGGATCTGCTTTGCAGACATTTCTATCAAGCCCTCCCAGCCTGGGTGTCCTTGTCTCTTCCTTGCCCCTGTCAAAGTTTAAAGGACTTACCTGATGTCAATGCCTTGGACATCCAGCAGTGTTGCAGCTGTCTGTGTTACTTCTGACTCTGCAACAGATGTGGATGGAGAAGCTCCTGCAGTGTAATGCTGACTTCCAGATGGTGGGCGTGGGGAGAAAAAAGAGTGACAAGAGGAGGGGGAGCCCCAGGAAGTGGTGACAGGAGGCAGCAGACAGGTAGTAAGGCAGAGGAGAGGGGTGATGGTTGACAGGGAGGGAGTCCTAACGAAGAGAGGGATTTGGTGTGTGCCTTGTCATAGAAACTGACTCAGGATTTATGGTCAGCAAAATAAATAGATGCATATTTATTTGAAAAGCTGTGCAGTGCAGTTTAACCATCAGTTTTATCTCCACGTAAGTATGTAATGTATGAGTTTTAATAGCTTCTCCTTAAGATTTCCTCTTGTTATATGGGTCCAGAGAGCATATAATTACATGTTTATGATATAGATCATCATGAACTTAAGTTCTTAAATTAAGGAAACTAAACTGATACTCTTGATTTCTTCTGTTTGTCTTCCTTTGACCTTTAATTTTAGGTTCAGATTGTAATGTGCACCAAGATGCTTTGTAGTTTGTTATTAGTGAAGCTAATTTTATGTGCAAATTAAATTTGTAGACAAACTTCTAATGTTCAGGACACAAATAACCATAAATCAAATTCACAGTTCTCCACAGTCTTCATAAAACTTAATTAATTCATTAGCCTAAATTAGAAAATATCCACCAGGACTCATTGCTTGCATGTGGTCAGGTTTATCTGTTACTCTAATTCAAAGGCAGACACCTGACTTGGTTCTATTGTTATAAAATTCTTAATTGACCAAAACTTTTATTCAGTGTTTATTTTTTAAAGTTTTCTTATTCTTACTATCATATACTGATTATGTATAATAATGGGTCTCATTATGACATTTTTATACATGCATGTTATGTATTCTGATCATATCCACCCAGTTATCCTGCTTGTCCCCCTCCTACTCCCATTATCTTTCTCTACCAACTAGTGTCCCTTCTATTTCATGTCTTTTATGTGTGTGTGTGCATGTGTTGTGTGCATGTGTGTGTACCTATGAGTTTAACTAGGGTTATTTTTTACCTCAAAATTTTAGTTATTTATTTCAACTACAGAACAGTTTATACATTCCAGGATACCATGGTCAATATCAAGGATCATTGTTTTTTTCCCCTCAAGTTCTTGTTTTAACAGCCAAAATAGGTATCATTATATCTTTTGTTCTCAGTTAAGGTAACATTCCTTCATTTTATTTTATTTTTTATTTTTTTTTATGTGTATGCGTGTATTGCCTGCATGTAGGTAAGTGCACCCGTGTTGTGCAGTACCCACGGAGGTCAGAAGAGGTGGTCGGATCCTCTGGGACTGGAGTTACAGACAGTTGTTAGCTGCCACGTGGGTGTTAGGATTCGAACCCAGGTCTTCTGCAAGAACAACCAGTGTTCTTAACCACTGAGCCATCTCTCCAGCCCTCATTCCTTCATTTTAAATATGTCAATTCAACTAAGAAATTACCCCAGAAAAGTTGGAGTCAATGGAACAGAGCAAAACCATGTACATCTAAGATCTAAAAAGTATTTTTAATCCTGAGGAGAAAAACTAGGCCCTGATAATATCCACAGACTTCCTCAGAAAAACCATTTATCCTAATTATTCACTCATCCATTCATGGAACAGTTGGTGCCTTTTAATGAACATGCCCTTGAGGAACTTCTAGTCAGAGAAACAAACGAGACAACTAAAAACAATGAAACACTGTTCTTAAGTTCCATGGCAGCAGTATACAGAGGCTGAGGGTGATGAGGTATATGTATTGAAGCTGTTGTAGGATTACCAGCTAGTGTGACTATCAGAATATTACCAACCAGTGTACATGGGCAGCAACATTGCGAACGTTAGCAGGTGCAAACTGCAGACACAGATGTTGCGGTGTGCATCAGCTGAGCACTGACCCTGAGGTGTGAAGGATGCCTGCTTTGTGCTGGGAACTGGAAGTCAGGGAAGGCACTCTGGAGGAAAGGAGATAGCAGCTTGTCTGAATCCTAACAGAAAATCTGGGGAGCACCAAATAATGGGAGGACAGGTGGGGTTTTCCAGCAAAATGAACTGTAGAGAGCACCTTTGCTGATCTGGAGGAAGGGAATCTCTCTAACGATACCCTCTCTAATTCTACCACTCTACTGTTTTATGCCTTCCAGGTGGGAATGAACCTTAGTGTTGCCCAATTCCTTCATGCCCCATCTGCAATGTACCCAGGGAAGTCTGCTCCATAACCTACCTGGGTGTCATTTTTGTTATCTCAAGGTTTGAACCTAACCTTGGATTTTACCACCTTTAATTTTTTCATAGCAAGTTTAGAGTCCAGTGGAATGAATGGAATGAGGGAAGTAGATATTCAAGTCAGGAGAGTAGCTGGAGAAGTAGAGAAGTGGACATACGGAATCTACAGAAACTGAGACTGAGTTAATTACATGCCTTTTTAATACTCATTTTGTCAAATACTCTTTCTCTTACAGATTTTGGTCCTGTCTCAGAATATTGCCCAACTGGAGGCCAAGGTTGAAAAGGTTTCAAGGGAGAAGATTTCAGCTGTTAGTCAACTAGAGGAAATTCAAAATCAGCTTACTTCTCAGGAAGTGGATGTCACAAAGGTACAGATTTTGTTTAATAATTATTTAAGTGCATATTCTCTTTGAAAACATTTTTAAAAATTTTTATTATCATATGGATGTGTGATTGATGTGTGTGTGTGTGTGTGTGTGTGCGCACGCGCTCATGCACGCATGTGTGCAGGCACACATGTGCCGTGCTATGATGCTCATGTGGAGGTCAGAGGACAACTTTTAAGAGTCAGTTCTCATGCCAGGCGTGGTGGCACATGCCTTAATCCCAGTGCTTGGGAGGCAGAGGCATGTGGATCTCTGTGTTTGAGCAGCCTGGTCTACATAGTGAGCTCCAGGCCAGCTGGGGCTACAGGAAGACCCTGTCCAAAAAAGATTTAAAAAAAAAAAAAAAAGTTCTCTCATTCCACTGTGGGCTTTAAGTCATGTTTTCAGGTTTATGTAGTAAGTACCTTTACCCTCTGAGCCACCTCACCCTCCTTGAACATGTTTTTCTCAATGTACAAAACTCTTAGTGTCATTGGGAAGAAGTTAGGAATAGAAAAGTCTTATTACTTCAAGGTAGTAAAAGTCAACTTAATGAGTCACCTAACAAACATTACTACATGCATCCCCTCTGCTTGTACTGCAAATTCAAAGATAATTTATACCTAAATAATTAGTTGATAAAGACAGGCTTGTAAGTAGGAGTTATGTTACTTTTATTGTTGCATATTTAACAAAACTTACATTTCTAAATTAACGAGGAATGAGTTTCCCCCATAGAAGGCATAAGATTGGTCTTCCCAATAATTGTTAAAGGCATGCATTTACAACTTGAAAAGTGCTCATGGCGTAAATATTTTTCTTCCTCCCACTTCTGTTTCAGATCTGCTTCTAAAACCAGTATTATATTAGCACAAATTCTTGTTTACTTGGTATTTAAGTTTATATATTAAAATACTGTGGCACTTATGTTTTGGCTGTTGTGTACCTTACTTGTGAAGCAAGAACTAAAACATTTAGTGGTCTTAACTGACTGAGGTTTCTATGTAAGAGCCCTGTTTTCAGAAATATTAGTTCATCTAGATTTTGAAGTCAACCACTTTAAAAGTAAGAATCGGAATAGGGCATACATAATATACAAATGAAATCAATTTATTATTTATCTACCACTACATGCACAGATAATCTTCATGATATTAAAACCCATATTTTTCTTAAATTTTGATACATTTTATGTCTTTGTTTTATAATTCAATAATTGTAATTAATTTTAACTTTTACATTACAGGAAGAGCTATTACTTTCTTTTGTTTTCAACTCCTAAGTCTCCTCTTACTTTCTAAAATTCAAACTAGATTATGAAGAAATGTAAGAAGCTTCTGTTTGCTGGCGTGCCTGATGTGTTTGTGAGGAGATGGGATAGAGTGGGTGCAGAGGAAGAAAATGTATAACAGATACAGGGGAAACCTGTGGTGATGGCTCACTGCTCATATTAGGGAGACAGCTTTGAAGTATAGCGATGCAGTAGAACTATCTGAAGGACCCGAGCATCAGAAGAGTGATGGATCAGACTAAATGACTTTGAAATTGCTTCTGAGATAATATTCCTGAGATAATAGTTGTGGCTCAGTTTAGTGCCTTAATTTTAGATAAAATTTAAGTATTACAAATAGTGAAAAAAGAGTTGAAAGTACTAAAACCAGTGAAATTTAAAATTAAAATTAAGGAATTAAAATAATTTTAAAGGACTCGACACTTAGACATTTACTCTGTGATAAATTTGGGTAACACTTGTTCCTAATCGTGGTTGTATGATTGTTTTCTGACGTCATACATCTGAGATTATTCTACTTCATTCATAAACCTACTTAAGCCAAACAGATTCAAATAATAGAGAATTGTATTTTCTGTTACTCTTCAATTTTATTTAACTTTAAAGATTTTTGTAATTTATAATTTTTTGAGTGGAAAAATCTATTCTCACACATTGCAGATGAATTTCTAATAGATTTTTCTATGTGTAATTTTTTTCTTGTTCTGCTTTCTGAGTGCCACTGAGGAGAAGCATACTGACTTTTGTGTCTCTCTTCTGACTATAACTTTTAAACTTCAATTCTTTTATTTCTTTAGTTTTTTATTTGAACAAATGAAGACATATAGGTTTTATACTTTAATATTTCAATACCCCAGTAATGATGAAACTAATACTAAAGTTTCCCAAGTCATCGTTTTTTAAAAAGATTTATCTATTTTTATTTTATGTGTATGAGTGTTTTGCCTGCATGTACGTAAGTGTACCATGTGTGCCTAGTACCGATGGAGGCCAAAAGAGGGCATTGGATCCCCTGGAACTGGAGTTATGGATGTTTGTTAGCTGCCATGTAGGTGCTGGGGACTGAACCTGGGTCCTCCATAAGAGTGGCCAGTGCTCTTACACACTGAGCCTTCTGTCTCAGCCCTCTGAAGTCATTATTTTTGAAGAAATACCAAAATTCAAAGTTGCATGCAAGAATAGCCATTAAATAATACGTGATCATTTAAAATTACATTTGTAAGTGTAAATTGGAAAAAGACAGGTTTAACCCATTTCTGCAGGTTCTCAGTTATCTCAAAAGTCTATTTAGATTTTTCTGATAATCGTATTTCCTAAATACATTTCTTTGAGTGCAAAGACCCAGATTAGAGGAAAAAGGCAAATTGCAAATAGACTGTTTCACTACACTTTTAAGATACTATGTGTATCAATTATTTTATGGCATATTATAATTATTTCAGTTTGAATGCATATTTACCTTTGGTGTAGAAGACTACAGTTATAATTGTAGAGTGTGCTTGAAACCTGTCTGCAACTTTTCCAGAAGATATTCTATAAGTTTTAAGTAGAATTGCATACCTATTATAATAAGATTGATGGTACATGCAAGGCTTGCATTGAATACTGGTGTTATATGCCTGAATATCAATAATAGAGTTTGTTAGCAGTGAAAAAAATCATTATAAATTTCCTTAAAAGCTTAACTGATGAAAAATTTAAAGACATTTTAAATATAGAGAATAACCATATAAGTGAATAATAACATACTTAAATGTTTTAATTACTAATTTTAGTAGTAATTATCTAGTAGAATTTTTGGTAGTACCTTTGGTTGATAATATTCAATTTAAACATTTTATATGAGATAGTCCTGAAACAGTACTTTCAGGTTTTTAGTTATGCATTTAATTATTTTGTTGGTTTTTACATCAATTGACTGATTGATTATGTATGTGTATCGAAGTACACGCTGTGCTCTGGTACTTGTGGCGGTCAGAGGACAACTTGTAGGAGTTGGTTCTCTCCTTCGGTTTGGGTTTGTTGTCAGTCTTGGAAGCAAGCATTGTTACCTACTGAGCCATGCCGCTGACCCAGCATTTTGTTACTATAATTTGAGATTATTAAACTCAGTAATTCTTCATATTGCATCCAAATCTTAAATCATATTGAATATTCTGATAGTCTTAGAAAAATCTTGTATTTTATCTGTATGCCCTCTAGGGGGCACCAAGAGACCTAATTGCAGGCATTGCCTGGCAGATTCCAGAGGCTATTGATCTTGTTTTTACAATCTAACAGGTGTGTGGAGAAATGCGCTTTCAGTTGAATAAAACCAAAATGGAGAAGGATGAGGCAGAAAAGGAGCACAGAGAATACAGATCAAAATCTAAAAGGGATCTTGAAAGTAAAGATCAGGTAAGAGGTAACACTAGTACAAACAGCAGTTAAGGGATTCATAACACTTTCTGGACTTGATGTGGTTTTAGCCCTAAGTTATTTATTTCTGTTATATTGCTTCTAATTAATGTAAGGCTCTAGTTTATACTATTAAAAGAATTTCATTTATAGTTGCCTGACATGAAGTGGTGAGAATACAACTGCTTGCATATGAAATTCCAATTTGACAGTTCATAAATATACATTTGGATTTGTGTATCTATTACTTAGAAAAGTTAAAAAATGTTCTAATGCACAGTTTGAACCTAAAATATACGTACATAAAGTTCTTGAAAGATGCCAACTTGCATCCAATTTTAAATGAAAAACTTTAAAATTTGTAAGATGAGATGAGTTGATATGTAAATATGTCAATCAAATTGATTGTTGGCAGAGTGAAACCAGCTTTAGCTAAGATAGCCATGAATATGTTTCCTCAGGAAGCCTACATACAGTGAGATTAGAAATGTTAGGGAAAGTGATGCTTGCTTCAATTTCAGTTTGAACAGATGTTTTATGTTATAATTCTGTTGAGATTGTGTAGATACTCCAACTTTAATTGACTATACAGGGAAAGATTTTTTAAAGAAAAAGTTAAAGCAAGTTAACTTGATTTTTTTTTTAATTCTGTGTTATAGTACAGGCCACTGAAGGCTTGCATTCTTGATATCCAAGGAAATCAGATTGTTTATTCATTAAAGTAATAAGACTAAGTTCTTAGTATCAATAATTTGAAGATATCCATACACTTTAGAAATAAATAGCTCCAATTAATTTAAAAACATATTTCCATTCAAAGCTTTTCTGTCATATTATTCAACATATTTTCCCTTTCAACTCAATTAACTGTTGATGACAAATGACATAAAGACTATTGGGAAAAGTATCAAACAGGAAAGTGCTAATGAAATTTAGTGCAAAAAGTTTTCAAATCATGACTGAAATCCTTAATACTAAATTAGAAGTCAGGCAACCAGAATACAGTGTTGCTTTTTGAATTGCTATCTGAAAACTTTCTAATGAGCTTTACATTTTAGAAGATTTTTCATTTTTAACATGTACAGATTTTATTTCCTCCAGTTGGGGGCATAGCTGATAGTGGAATGGAAAAAGCCTTTCTGTCAGGGAATGAGAGCCTGCTAAGTGAAGCACAGCGAACTTGCTTCTTTCTGATGCGGTAGGTTTTGAGAGTTGTGTCGGTGTACTCAGTGGCTATACTCTATGCCGTTTGTATTGTTACACAACACTCTGTATGCATAATATTTTGCAGTGACAGAATACAGAAGCAAAGAGCCTTAGAGTTATTTTAAATTACATTCCATCATTTTAGAAGTAAAAACACTACAGTAACAAAGAGTATAATAGTATTTGTGAATAACCTATTTTAAAAGCATTCATCTTTGTTTTTTCATATACTCTTTTTCTTTTTAGTCATCCTACAGTGGTGTATAAAGGCTAATGTTGAAAAATCAGTTGGAGTAGTTTTCCTTTGAAAATATTTCCTGATAGAGTAAAATATTAAGTTTTTAATAATGCTTTTTATTGATGCATTTTCAGATAGAGATGTGCCTTTTGGGGAGGTCATAGCTGTTAAGAATAAACCTGTGAAGGGTTAGATGTTTGTTATGTGATGTGCTTGTTACCATATTTCCTTAATGTGAGGAAATCTTATAAGTACTCTTTGTAACTATTTTGTATTGAACAGACAGTTCAGAAAGAAAGTCGTGGCATCTCATTGCATGGGCAATTTGGAGTAGCAAAGCAGCAATTGTTCTTTGGTTTTTTCAGCCATGACCTGACCTTCTGTTGTAAGACCAAAGAGCTGTTTAGCTTGGCCACCATCTGTACCCAGGAGAGAAATTTACATTTAACTTTGGAAAGCTGGACATGTTGAGCATTTATCTGAAATACCTACAATACTATAAAGCATATTTAATTTTTAAGTGTTATATGCCATATACTCATCATAATCTGAAGACTGTCTCTTGTTTTGCAAGCAAGTGTTCCCTGTAATGTAGTCATTTTGTTCATATTTTAGCTAATCTGGCCTCATGATACAATTTTAAAGTAGGTGGGAAACTGTGAGATTGGAATGTGGGGAGAACAAGAGCTTCTTTGATGTATACAAAAACAGGGCAAATGGTTGAGCCAGAATGATTTTCCTTGTGACCTGAGCCTTGACTCTGGCATAATTAGAGAGAAAGGCTAGAGCGGGGCAATGGCAGTCTCTTCCTCCCACTCTCTTTTCTTTCTATGCTGTGTCAGGACCTATGGGTGAATTATCCTTCCAGTCAACTCCTTTGCATGTCTCCAGCGTAGAGAACTGCTGTCTGCCTCGAGATGCTTCTACACAAGAAAAACAAAAGGCATTTGATATGGAGACTGAGAAGCTTGTGCCTTAATTTTTATTAGAATTTTTTTTGTAGTCTACAGGTACACACATACACATACATGAAAATACATGGAAGATCATGAGAATTTAAAACGTGAGGGCAAGGGGAATATTATCATGAACCTCTGCATCCATCACTCAGCTTCGCTTTGCCAGTCCTACTCCACCTAGTTCACAGCTTTTCTCTTAACTTCATCTTCATTGTTTTCTTTTTCTTTCCCATCTTCTCATTTTCGAATTCTTCTTTCTCATCCTCTTCTTCTGTCTCTTCTCCTTTTGCAGAAATATTCCAAGCAGATCTCAGATATTACATTTATTATTTTGTCTACAAAGAGTTTGATGTGCATGTGTGAAGGAAAATTTTATATTATTATATCACCCCACCAAACAATATTAACAATGATAATTAATGGCAAATAATGTCCAGCCCATGTTCACATTTTTTTATCTCAAAAATGTTTTGCAGTTGATTTATTCTGATATGCAAAACAGGTGTGTCTTTGTATATTCAAATGCTACAGTACTAGCCTCCTTAAAAGGAATGTTTAGTAAAATTGTTGACTTTCTGTGTTGTCTATTAAGTTTCACACAGAATGTTTTGATTGTGCTTTGTACTTCTAAAGTGGCTCATCATTCTACAGAAGTCTGTCTTCATCCTCTGCACACTGTTTGAGAATGCAGCTACCATGCAGCATTGCTTCACATCATATTTCAGAGAAGGCCATAGACTGAAATGCAACATACAGCATTTCAGAACCTTATGCAAGATTTAGGGTTCGGGAAACCCTGGCCTTGCAGGGGTTAGCTGACTTGAAATGAGGGCTACATCTTTGAAATTTCTGTGTTAACCATTGATCAGGACCCAGTGCAAATGAAAACAGGAATGTTCAGAAAGGAGGAAAGTGATGTTAATAGAAAACTTTTCTTTTTGTCTTTTCTTTATTCTCTAGTTCCCCTTGTCCTTTCTCCTTCTTCCCTCCCTCCCTCCTCCTCCCTCTCCTCCTTCTCTCCTCTGTCATAGTGTTTTTTCTTTGTTGTTTGATTTGGGACTATCTATAGCAGGATGATACACATGAGGGGTATAGATCCACACAGGTAACTATAACTGAGGGTGCATGTGCAATCCATCAGCTTTTAAGTTCTCCTTTTTTATGTGTGTGCATATATGTATGTATGCATGTTCATGTATGTGTACATGTATGTGGAAGCCAGAAGTGTCATCCTCAGAAATGTTTGTCTACCTCCTTTAACACAGGGTCTCTCATTGGCCTGGAATTCAACATTTAGGCTGGACTGGCTAGCCAGCAAGTCCTATGGATCCTCCTGTCTCCACTTCACTAGTGCTGGGTTTACAAATGCCTGCCATGCCTGGCATTTTTCTGTGGGTTCTGAAAATCAAACTCGGGGACTCATGCTTGCATGACAAGTGTTTTATAGACTGAGCACCTCCCTAAGAACCCTAACTTCTCTCTTCTAGGCACCATGCTCCATTAGGTTCTGTGAGTCAGTCTCCTTCATCCTAAGGAGGACAGATAGACAGCCTCCAAGACTGTAGCCTCCACACCTGGACACATTTTGTTCATGGATAAGGAGCAGGCAAAAGACCTCATACTTATTCCATTTAGAGTGCTGCAAGCCTGGGGCAGGGACGGTCACCTCCACATCCTGTCCTGACATATCACATGTATACACACATCCAGGTAGCCAGGGGCATAGGACAACTCCATAATACAAGCTTCCCCCACTAACAAGACCTGTTCCACCCTGGGTGGAGGTCACAGCAGTAGCGAGGTTTGGACTGGAAAGAGGAAGCTGGAGGGGAGCACCTCTTTTGAAGTGCTCCAAGGCTGTAGTTAAGCAAGGGAAAGTTCACACAGGAGAATCAAAGTTCCATTGTCTCATCAGACTGTGCTGACAAACCAGTCTCAAGATAGAAATCATTAAGAATTTGAAAATATGATCACAGAGCCATAAGCTAGGCCCTCTGTTTTCTTTTTAGTCTCGTGCGATAAGGTACACCATGTAGCCCAGGCTGGTCTGGAATTTGCTGGTTGCCATACTGCTCTCAAACTGATCACCCTCAGCTGCAAGAACTTTCTAAACAGTGCCTATAGGACTACACTGATCACATGCCTGAGAAACTGCTACTGCTGCTTTCCTGCTACAAGAACAGGTTGAGTGGGACTGGAGATATGGCCCAGTGGTTAAGAGCACACACTGCTTTTGCAGGGGACCCAGGTTCAGTTGTAAGTACCCATGTCAGACAGCTCACAACCACCTATCACTCCAGCTCCAGGGGATCAGATGCCTGTGCCTTCCACATGTACAAGCACTCATGTGCACATACCCACACACAAGTACAACACATAATTAAAAATAATAAATCTTTAAAAATAAAAGCATAGCTGAGGAGGTATGGCAGAGATATTATAGCCCGTAAAGCCCAAATATTATCATTATTATCTAACCCTCTGTTGAAGAGTTTCCCATCCCCTCCCCTTGGTATGGAGATAGTTTCTTTTTGTATTTATCTATCATTTTTATTATGTGTGTGAGTATATTGCCTGCATGTATGTGAATGCACCTG